GTTCTTTAGACTGGATTGCACTTCTGCTTTTGCCTAATTATTGCATTACCGCCCGTGGCAGAATTCGAATCATGAGCGTGTGGATTGAGACAAACACGTAGCACCTGAGCCACATCATCCTAGCTTCGTTTAGTAACACAACAAACATTAATTAAAATACAAGGCTAGTCTTTCCTAATTTTTAATATTTATTGAGGAACCATAAGGTCACTAAATATAGACAACATCATTGTCTCTCTCTCTATATATATTTATATACTAAAAGACTCATGCTTGTTAAATGGCGCCGTAACTTTTCAGCTACGGGTACAAATGTTTCATTGGGAAAATGCGGTTTTACAGTCAAGTCAGACTTCTTTTTATAACCATTTTGTGGTTTCAAATCTTGCGGTTTGTGCTCCTGACCCTTCGACGAGCCCGAAACTGCACTCCTTATTGCATGAATGTTTCTTATGTTGGTAAGTGTAATTCCATGAAATTTTAAGGCCTACCCACTTCATTGCGTTGAAACTCTACCTCAATGGGTCTTAGCCTCATTCTCGCGGAAACCAGCGGAATCAAAGCTCAATACGTTGACTGTCAAAGTCAACTGCGTTACCTCTTTGACCTCACGTGTATTGGCTAGCTTGATTATATGTCCCTGAGGAGTTTAACGACAAACGTAATCCCACTTTAAGTGCAATTTAGGGCTGGTTCCGAAATTAACTACATACTAATTCCGTTTTACTCTATCTGCTATTATTTCCATCTTCCAGAAGTTAATACTTTGAAATTAAAAGTGTTAATTTGGCTTTAAACGAATTCTGAAACCGTGTTATAGTACATATTATTGGAGAAAAAACTGCAGATATCATGGACTACCTGAAACTCAACTTCCTCCTCGGTCTCCTCGGAATCTATCAGAAGACTCTGGTCCAAATCGCCTGCATCATCCAAACTATGATCGGGCTCATTTTCCTTATTAGCTCCAATTATCATCTTTGCTTCTGACTCCTTGAGTCCAAATCTCCAAATCTAAGGGTAAAATCAAGCAAGGAAGGAAATAAATTACTATATTTCGGATCAACGCCAAGAGACGAGAAATAAATAAATATATATATATATAACGAAGGAAGAAATTATAATTTTATAAAAATACTCCTAAAGAGAATTCAGAGTTGGATGTACAATCCGTCATAGGACGGACGAAAGCTTAGCACGTTTTAATCGAAATCGAGAGAGATTGCTGCTAAAACAGTGTCCACAAGAATGTTCCAGTAAAGCCAATCGACAGCTGGTCAAGATAAATCTTCCGTCGTCTTCTGATGGAATTAACATTCGAATCTTCTTACCGAACATTTTCACTGGAAATTGAAGTAAGCCCAACAGATGT